AAAGAAGCTAGCCGCAAAAGACCACATATTACATGGTTCCTTTTATATGAAATGGAATCCATTTAGATGTTCAGAATAGACAAATCTGTAGACACAGAAAGCACCTTGATGGTTGCCTAGGGCTGGGAGCAGGTTGGAGGAAAATAAGGAATGACTGTTGGTTGATATGGGTTCCCTTTTTGGAAACGTAAAAATGCCCTAAAATTAATTGTGGTAGTATTTCACAAGTTATAATTATACAAAAAACTTTGAATAGTGTACTTTAAATGGATTAACTTTATGGTATGTGAATTATATCTCAATAAAGCTTTTAGAGTAAAAAAGAAAGAGACAGAGAGAGAAAGAAAGAGAGAGAGAGAGAGAACATGGTCTTAGAGAAGGCACTGAGAAAAACCCTCCAAAAGTATTCATGATATGGAAGAATCATTACAATGTCTGGGCAGAGTTAACTAACATGAGCAAGGTAATAAAATATATACATTGGATGCATAGAAACTGTGCAGAAATACTATAGGAAATAAGGGGAAATAACCATGTAGAATTAGCAAAAACAAACCCAATCCAGTAGAAATTATAACTCAGGTAATTCCTCAATAATGCTTCACATAGCGCTGAAATTAATGAGAATATTAAGTTAATAAGGCAGAGAAGAAAGAAAAAATTATGAAACAACAGAATGAGATCAAAAGGGAGATTGCAGATCTAAGGTAATAAGTTGGGGTTACAAGCAACATCCTTATAGAACTAATTAAAAAATTGTAAGCAGTGAGGAATAAAAGAGACATTACAGGAAGCTGAATTTCCAAGTCCATAATCTCTCCCTAAGCTGAAATGCCAAAATCCAAAAAGCTAAGAACATTTACAGGGTTATTTTTTTGGTAACCAATGTGGTAGCCTAATCTGTCCTGAACAGATGTGAGGTTATTTATAATCATTGCTTATCCCACTTCATTTGAATATTCATATTTATCCTTTTCATTGAAAAAAAAAAAAACATTAAGAAGGTGACTTATTTATAAAGGGGAAAGAATAAATTCGACCTCGTACATCACTACCACAATATTCAATGACAGCAAATATTAGAGTAATATCTAGAAAATTCTGGGGGGGGAGGCAATATGGTCCAAGAACACTACATCTAGCCAACTATCAGTTGAGTGAAAAAGCAACGGACTGCGTTCTCAAATATGAATTAAATCAGGGAATATAACACTCATGAGTCCTTCTTAAAACAAATCGCTTGACGATCCAAAAAATTAGTACTTGAGGCTCAACAAAAACTCAAGAATGGAGAAAGTTAGGTTAAAAGGAGTGGTGGTGAGTAGGGAATCCATTTCAAGTTATCCCTTTTAAGTTATTTATAGAAAATTACAAAGGCTACATTGAATCAATACTTCTTTTATCCTCCTGAACGTATTCGGACCTTGGAATACCTGGATTCCAGTGTTATGGTCCCATCGTCCATACTATTGTTGTCTAGCATTTCCATTTTACTTTTAAAGACATTCCTCCTGAAATAATAATTTTCTTTTACAGTCGATGCTTAGAGCTTTTGATAACATGTTTTTCAATTTCTTTGCTCATCACTGCTTCTTGTATCCCATTAATTGAATTTTCTCCTTCCTTAAATATATCTTTCTGTGGTCATTTCAGTGAGGGAGATCAATTTTCAGTTTTCTTTTTGTTTGAAAATATCTGTATTTTGCCTTCACTTTTGAGTAATCATTTCACTCAGTACAAAATTCTCAAATGATGGTCATGTTCCTTCAGCACTTGGAAGGTGTTACTTGGCTATCTTGGTCTCTATTGATGCTTTGGAGAAGGCAGCTGTCAGATTAATTGTTCATTTGTAGGTAATTTAGCATTTTCCCTTTGGTTATATCAGGGTCTTCTCTTTCACGATGATACTCCTTTTCTTTTCCTTTCTCTTCCCTTCCTTTCTCTCTCCTCTCCTTCTCTTCCTTTCTTTCTCTTTTTCACGTATTTTTGCTTCTGTCTTTCTCATATATTCTTCCAAATGGACCTTAGAATATCTAGCATTTCAAAAAGTTGTAAAGAGGAGTTAAATTTTGATTTGCATTTTTGCGTAACCTATTAATTTGGAACCAATTGATATATTTTTTTTTTTTAATTTTTTTTTTTTCCAACGTTTATTTATTTTTGGGACAGAGAGAGACAGAGCATGAACGGGGGAGGGGCAGAGAGAGAGGGAGACACAGAATCGGAAACAGGCTCCAGGCTCTGAGCCATCAGCCCAGAGCCTGATGCGGGGCTCGAACTCACAGACCGCGAGATCGTGACCTGGCTGAAGTCGGACGCTTAACCAACTGCGCCACCCAGGCGCCCCAGAAACCAATTGATATTTTTAGCATCAAAGTATTGATATTCCCATTTAGAAATGTGCTGTTTCTATCTATTTGAAAATGTCTCTCTATAAATGTTTGGTCATTTATCAAATCATCTTGCACCATATATATTAAATGAATTTATAAGTTTGCTACATTTTTGTTTCTATTTTGAATAGATTATTTTCTCTTTAAAACAAAACCTAAAATTTCTATTGGTTATTGCTACATTAAAGAAATATGATTTTTTATAGATTTTTTTTTCTATGAGGATATGTCAGATTCTACACAGTATGTACGGAAATAGCATAAAGGTCAAAACTAAAAGGAGGATGCAAAGAACAGAGATTTTTTTTTAAAGATGCAGGAAAATCAGTTTTTTTTTTAAACCAAGACTTTATTTTTTTTAAGAACAATTTTAGGTTTACAACATAATTGAGAGAAATGTAGAGAGATTGAAATCTTTTTTTTTTAAGAGGTCTGTTTTTAAGAACAAGTACATTTTAATTTATTAGACAAAATTCAAAGACTAAAGAGTGCATTTAATTTTCAAATAGACAGGGAAAGAAAACTAATAATTGAATGCAACCAAGAAAAATCTTTTAATACATTTAATTTTCCTGCTAAAGATTAGATATGTACATTGCAGAAAGTTCTTGTTGTAAAGACTGAATCAAACTTAGTGGAGAAATAAACACACGGAAATACTGCACATATTAAAATTAGTAGAGTTTGAGTGATATCTATCAACTGATACTTAAAGATACTAAGAAATTCCAATTCAGAGGCAGTAGAAATAATTTTTGAGACATCAGGAAATATATCCACCTTTTTTCCTGGAGTGTATATTAAAATAGGCCCTAGAAATCATAGAATCAAAGCCAGTATCTGAGGATAAAGTTAAAGAAATGATCAATTTATAATTTAGAAATCTCTGAAAGAGCTTAACTGGTTGCTTAACTTTGTAAAAACAAATCATGTCAGACCAATTTAATCCTCTTTTTTGGCAGAATGACGGTCTACAAAGATAAGAAGCATTTGTAAAATGTAATTTTAACTTCAAGAAATGTTTTTGTTCTGTTGTGTATGACATGTTAATTATAAACTAAGAGAGTATGATGTTGTGTACAATTCTCAATGGCTAGTTATCATTAACCTCTTCCCAACTGGGAACTCATATTATCAGGTAGTTGCAAGAATTCATGGTGGAGTTCTTTGGATTCAATAATTTGGTTGAAAACCTAAACAAAAGATTTGAGATTTTGCTAATTAAATTTGTGGATATCATGAAGCTAAATACTAGTATTATTATCTGGGGCTGAACTTCAAAACAATCTTGAAATATTAGAAAAATTCTAAAAGATTAATCAATACTACTAGAGAAAACTGTAAGATGTGGGGAATACTTTGGGAAAATTTTGGGGGGAAAATAGCTGCATGGTAAAAATAGATTGCCTCAGTGGGAGTATACAATTAAGAAGAAATTCCCAGTATATTTGTGGGGCAGAAGTTGAGGTGGGGCTTAAGTGTCAAGATGATCATAGATCAAAATGTGACAGTAGGGGCCCCTGACTGGCTCAGTTGGTAGAGCATGTGACTCTTGATCTCAGGGTTGTGAGTTCAAGCCCCAGGTTGGGTGTAGAGCTTACTTACAAAGAAAAAAGAAAAAAGAGAAAGAAAAAAAAAGTCCACATTAAAAGAGAATCAGAAAGAAATATGGAAGGAAGGAAAGAGAGGCAAATATAGAATTTAGTTGTATTGAAAAGCATGGCACATGAGATCTAAAAAAATCACTTTCCCCCCCAATACTAGTCATGTATCTATTAGAATATTATGTCTCATTTTAGGCAACACATTTTAAAAGGATGTGAAGGAATGGAAACAGATTTGAAGAAGAGCACCAAGAATGATTGAAGGACTAGAATATATATCCTAGGCTGAAAGGTTAGGAATTTAGTATTGTTTGGACTAGAAAAGGGATAGGTAAGAGATGATTTTATCACTTTCAAGATATAAAGGGTTTTCGTGAAAGGTAACCCCCATTGGTGATTTCTCAGGTCTATAGAGGATGAAAAGAAAGCACAAAGAAGCTTAAGATTAAGCAGAAAAGATCACGTTTGGATACAAGGCAGATGTCTCTGCCATCAGGGTGACAGAAATATGAAACAACTTCTAAAGGAGACTCTGAGCCAGGCAGCCATATCAGTCTCCATATTGGATGCACTGCTGAACATGAAAACAAGTTTGAGAACAACGATGTCTATCAGGGGTCAGCAAACTTAACCACCTGCAGGCCGAACCTGGAACATCATCTGATTTGGGGACAGCCCATGAGCTAAGAATGACTTTTACATTTTTAAATCATTAGAAACAAATCAAACGAAGGTTCCATGACAAAAGGGACTTACATAAAATTCTACTTCAATGCCCATAAATAAAGTTGTTTTGGAACACAGCCATGCCCATACCTTGACGTACTGTTTGTGGCTATTTTGATGCATTCGAATGGCAGAGTAGAGTAGTTGTTACTGAGATCATATGGTCTGTAGAATCTAAAATAATTACTATATAGCCCTTTACAGGAAACATTTCCTGAGCGCTGACCTATGTGATTGTAGCCATGTATGTAATACACGGAATTTTTTTCTCCGAAGTCTAGAAGCTTTCTTTGTGGTAATAAAAATGGACCCCCCTGGGGTCGGCTGAGGAATACAAGCGGCACATCCTTTGAAGCGTCTTGGAGAGAGCCTTGGGTCCACAGAAGAACACGCCAATGTTGCTGCTGCAGTAGGGTAAAACAAAGAAAGAGTGTGTTATGCGGAGTCAAGGCTGGCCAGAAACTACGATGGACTGACACAATTAGGGAAGTGGTTGGGGTTGTGACTTTCCTTTTCTCCGCTCACTTCCTTTTCCTTAGATCTCTTTCCTACTCTCGGTACCATGCTTCCCCACAGTTTCCAGAATCTTGTTAGACCCTAAGTCACACAGGCTGGAACCAAGAGGCTTTGATGAGCAGGGACCTGCTGACTGGGGAGAGGGTGTCAATAACAGAGGTGCTGTCTCTTGGATTTCTGGTCAGGTGACCCTGATTGACCTCCTCCTGGATCGGTGGCTGGAATGTGAGGGGCCTGCTCTGCTTCACTCATCACTGTCATCCCAGAGCCTGGAATACTGCTTGGCATATAGTAGGAAATACACATTTGTTGAGTATTGAGCTCTGTTGATTATCACCTGCACGGTCTTGGGTAAGACCCTGGATTCCAGTCTCTGCATGCGTCAAACAAAGAGGCTAATGGCTACATCACATGTTTTCTTAAGAACAAGATGGGATAATGCATTCAAAAAGGTTTTAGAAGTGTTAGTTATTATGAATATCTTGTTCAGCCCTGCCTTTTTCTAGATAATAAGATTTTTGCTAAAGTGATAGCAACTTAGTTTATTTCTGCTGTCGGGATGCCTTTGGTTTTCAAAGAAGGCCAAAGAGAAGAATCAGAAAGGAAGAAGAGACATTGTTGAAAATGGAGTCACCCAAAAGTCGTCATCTCTAGTCATGGCATTTCAGAAAACTGTGTTGAAGAGGTATTTTGCGTATAGTGGCCGTCCCAGGGTTGTTCAAATCCCTTGGAACCATGACTGCCAGCTTTGCTTGTAGACAAACAACCCACCGGTGCAAGGATTCAGGTTGTCTGAAAGCCAGGTGCAGACAGTCTCTCCAGGGACTTATGGGCCATGTTTTCCTTTGTCTTCCAATGTTCTACACCTTGTAGCATTTTTCCAGTCTCTGGCACAAGTTGAATTAGTTACTTGAGTCTAAAGCAAAAGTTCTCGTACTTTGCATAAAATCACCTAGGCAGATTGTTAAAACACAGGTTCCCAGGTTTGAATCCAAGGAATGCATTTTGAGCAAAGCCCCCAGATAATCCCGAAGCACATGTTCCCATGAGCCACACTTTGAGAAACACTGGCTTGGAGAAATTCCTGGGGCTCTCGGTCCAGCCCAGTGAATACCTCTCCTTCTTCATAGCTGCCTTTTGTTGGGAGGCTTGCCTATAGCCTTGTTCTCCTTAGCTTGCATGTTAACATGCTTCTCTGCCATGTGACCAATCCACATTTTAATTATGCATTCCAGGACCGTAATAACCATGGTAGAAATTGATGGTTCAATTACATTTCAAACTCTAGCTTCAAAGGAACTTATCAAGTGGACTCATTTGTAAATGACAATATGTTTAAAATATCTAAGTAGTATTTTTGAAGGCATTATTCCCATGGCTACATTTAAGAAAGTGCCTTTTTAGAAAATATTTTCCACTGAGAAATACGAGTTTATGACTTAATGAAGCAACTTTACAGTATTTGTGGGAATTGAAGGCACTGGTTAAGAACGCTCTTGGTTCCACCACTTTGCTGCTGAGGGGACTCGGGCACATTAACTATCTCCTCAAAGCCCATTTCCTGATCTGTGAAATGGGGTGCATTATGATACGTAGCTCCTAGAACCTCGGAGGGGGTCAGACAAGACATGGCAGATCCAGCCTTCCACCCCATGCTTGGCACAAGGTGAACTTCAGTAACGCTGTGACCGTCGTCATTACGGGTGTCTGGGTTGGCTCCGCAGAGCTGAACAGAAGAGGTGATGTGGACTGTTATCCCAACGATGATGACAGTCTTCCTGGATCGGCACTCCAGCCCTGGGTTGTTTGAATTCTGGAGTGACACATTTTGAACGATAGATGGGTCAGGCAAAACTCTTTCCGGCGAGGAGTCACAGCTTGGCTTTGTGTCTGATGCCCAGAGGTATCCTTGCATCTAGGTTCAAAGGCTCTGTTATGGGTGGTGATATTTTTCTGTCCATGGAGGCGTCACCAAAGAGATTGCCCACTGGCCCATTCCCAACAGGCTAACATTGCCCTTTCGTTTGCAGCCACAGTGACTGTTTGCAGGTCCCGAGGACACCCTTTGATGCTCTGCCTTTAAGACTCCATTTCAAAGGATTCTGATTGCCAGTGGCCAGGTGTACCACTGGTGTCCCCAGCAGTTCACAGCAATCCTGCCTCTTTTGAAGTTATAGCTATTACTCTGCACAGCTAAGTACACACTCTTCTGTATTCATGGAGCCGTCATGGTTATGCAGTCGCCAAAAAGTCTCACAAAGGCCACTCATTATCTGCCTTCTGCTGAGGCAGAACGGCCAGCCCTTCACTAACACTCTGTGCGTCACTGTCCCCACACATGACAGTCTTGCGCTTGCCGTGCTTACCCTCCTCGGCATTTTGTGGTTTCAAGTATGGAGATTTCTGGTCACGAATGCACACTGTGTGAATCAGAGCCGAGAAGCCGCACAAAGTGGTTCAGGCACAGATGTGGCAGTATTTTTTTTTTTTGTTTGTTTGTTTTTTCTTTTATGAGGCAATGGACAAGTGCAACAGAACCCTAATGGGGTTGGTAAAGAAAAAATTCTTCTATAAAGTTTAATTACCCACTATTGCTTAGAATTAAAAAAAAAAAAAAAGGGAGAGAGATTCTCCGTAAAAGAAGTATAAAAACACAAGGCATTATTTTCCAGTTTACAGCCTGGAAGCTGTGGAACTTGCACATGAATGAGGGGTTGGATCCAGGACAACATTAGCGGCATCGATCAGTCTGGGCTGCTGACTTTGATGCGAAAAGGACAAATTTTACACAAGCTGCAAGGATGGTTACCATTAGCAGTATTATTTTTAGCTCTGATAAACAGTAAAGAAAATCCTTCTGTCCCCCTCTTATTTGCTAAATAACTATTGTGCTCTTTTCTGTGGGGTTGATGCATTTTTCAAAAACAGTTCAGCGACGCCATGCATGAAAGGCATCCAAAATGTCACCCACCAGGAGATTTCTGCTCAGCAGATAAATGGGAGAGTGGATGTGCCTGGGAGTAATCCCACCGTCTTGCTGGCTTCCCAGGTTCTGCTGCCTTGAGCCCTCCTCTCTTTAAATTGTATGTTTGTTTTTATGTGTTGGCTTTTATGCTTGGTAAGTTATAACCCTGTAGGGGCAGACCCTAAACCCCATTTAAAAAAAATCAAACTAGTTTATACCCTGAGTGCATTCTGCAAATAAAATCGATAAACAGAAGCTTCCCGTGGATTTATGGAGGCTTAGGAAGAAGACAAGGAAGACTACAAACTTGGTATCAGACAATGGACACGACTTCTGATTAATCTTTCCTCGTGAGTGTTTTTCACTAGAAATTCCTCCAAATGATTCATTGTATAATTATATTTCCTACCACACCTTCTTTTCACAACCACAGATGATAATTGTGTTGGCCAGCTTTTTTGAAAACCCATCTCCCGGTTGATGTGTAGCAGCCTGCTCTGTTACTTTTCTCCGCATCCTAATTACTCGGTGGTTCATCAGGAGCTACGAAGGTCCCTAACGGTGCTTGCTCACTGCTGAGAACGGACTTGCTGTTCCCACCAGCTCCGTTTTCTTTGGAAAGAGCTAGGAATTCGGTCCCAGCTTCCACAACCTTCTCTTCGTCCCTTCTCTTGCTGATGCTGGCTCCTGTGCTCAGCTCTGCGGAGCACAGATCAAGTTGCTGCCCTTGAGGATGGCCATGGTCAAGTAGAAAGTGAAATAAAAGATAAAAGTAGTCGTCTCGTAGCATTGGATTCCAGGGAAGGGTGGAGCCATTTTTCTGTCAACCCTTCCAGATAAAACACTACAGTATATATACCTTCATCCAGAAATATCCTAAAGTATTCGTCACATCTAATGATTTTCGAGGCAACGTCATCAAAGACACTTTGCAGAATGACAGACCCACTTGCGCTCACCCCCCTCCCTAATCTTTACTACCGCAAATAGAGTAAAGCCAGTGATTTCCACTGAATCTTCACTTGACTATATGGCTGGATGTCCTCTGGTGGGAAGGTACGACTGAAATATGCTAACAACATCCCAGTCATAAGTTAATGGTGGCTTTACTCTTCTCATCAAGCTATAATTTATCATGAGTGGGATTTCCACTGAAGCCTCTTCCTTTGGGTGTTCTGAACATTTTAGTCATACAATGAATGTTTAGAATATCCTATTAGATAGAGGGCCCTGTATGCTATAATCAGAATGTTAATTTCTTAAAAATATCATTTAAAAACATTTTGCACATATGCATGTACAAATGAGAATTGGAGAGTGTGCACACAAGCAAATGTGGTTCCAGATGGACACATTTACTCAATTTAGTCTAAAGGTATTTTTACAGTTCTGAAAACAATGGGTGGTCTAAAATACATTTGTGCAATATGGATTAGAATCTCCCAATCATATGGTAAGTCGGCACCTTTCTTTATTTATCGTGGGGTTGGATTGAACAGTTCTAACAAATGGCAGTGCTCTTTTACTCTTTATTTATTCCTTCCAGATAAGAGAAACCCTTCTACTCAAGTTACGAAGAAATGGCCGAATCTCCAAAGTTTTTATGATGATTAATTACATAAAGTTCTACATCTCCATGGCACAGGGAGTTATCCGCGGATAAGCCAAAACTGGCAAACGATAAATACGATGTGAAATGGAAGAGCAAAGAGTGAAGTCTTATGGAAAATCATTTTACCCAATTAATTAAAAAACGAGTGGTCCAGAAACCCAGACGGTTTAGTATGCGCACAATGTGTGTTTATCAAAAAAGTAGCTAGATGCGGCAAAGATATATTTATTTTCATTCTCTGTACCTTCTTGGAAACGATTCCCTGATTTTCTGAATATTTGTTAAAGCTTGGGAACATATTGAGAATGTTT